CTGAAACAATAATAAAAAAAATTTTTTTATCACGAATCAAGTCCCAGCAAGATTCACTTCTGCGATACACGATTTTCAAGACCACTTATCTAAAAATTAAATGGTGTACGTAAAGGGCCTTCAATAGGGCCATATTTATTCCTCACTTACGACAAAACCAAAAACAATTTTAATTTCTCATAAATCCTGTCGTTTCCTAATCAGTCTGAGCTGAACTAAGCTAACTACATCCTTAAAAAACTACAGACGCGAGTGTTTAGAGGCATATAAAGCCGATTCGTTCTATTTAGCCAAAAGATTTCCCATTGAGCCTTCGTCGCACAATACTGACTACTCGACGGCTTAAAACCGCTTGCAAATCGCGAGCCGCGTGTGAAAGCCCGGAGAGTGTTTAATCGCTCGCTTTGTGCTGCCTCGTGCGAGGATATAACGCTGGAAGATCTTACTTTTTGTCTTCTTTTGTGTACCAGCTATTTGGAATTGTTACACGTTAATCACATTCAAACAGCCACACTTCATCATCAAAATCGGTTCACTATGAAAGATTCCAGAGGGGACAGTTATACTTCAATTAAGGTTTTTAAAGTGATTTTAACTTCTATTTATTTTTTTAAACGGTACGGTTATGAGGTCTATATTTGACGAATCACATTTTAGTTACATGATAATCTTTATTTTGCTTGAACTGATTGATTGATTTTTTTATTGAATTTTATTGCTGATTTTATTGAAGATTGGTTAAATTATTTTAGTGTTCATAAAATAATTAAATTTTGAAATTAAAGATTTTATGAACACTAAACGTAAAATATTCTAAATTATTTGAATGATGTAATTTTAGCGTAAAAAAATACGTTCATATAAAGAAACTAATTCAGTTTACTTAATCATCTATTATTTTAAGAGTTCATTACTCACTACTACTATACTTAAAGTAAGATTAGCGCGAACTGATTTCCGTATGTCGAAATCCAATACCTTATTGACAGTTAGGAGTCACAACAGCTACTTCGAAATGTCAAACTTAGAGAAAAATAGTTTTTATCTCTCTCATTTTGAAACAATTTTGAGGTTAAAAAAACCTGAATGTGTTGTGAATGTAAATAATTTTACATTAAAATTTCGGCTCAAATACATTGCGTATTTATTAGAAGGAAATAATAAAAATAAAATAAACGTAACATCTAGTATCGATGTAGCAAGGACGCCTAAGGGTAAGGTAAAAGGATTCGACGAACAATCGTCTCGATACACGAGTGTCGAGTGATTAGTACTCCCTCAAAGATTTTTATTCTACCCCTGACTTCGACTGTGTATAAAAAAAGATTTACATATTGTCTTACATACGTCTTAAAACGAATTTTTAACGAGTTGTTTTTATATACGAGTGCGTGCTCCGATAAAAGAGAAAAATCAATATGGCCGACTTGTCAAAGCCAAAATCATTTATTCATATAGATAACACAATGTACACTTATCAAGTCAGTCAGTCAGTCAAAAAAGGAATATAATGCATCTAATTTTACATTTACTGTTAGTTCTCAAATCAAGGGCGTAGAACGGAGAAGAACTCTCTAAACTCTCCGCCACTCTTTTTAATCGCCAAGTTTTTTGTTTTACACAACGTTTAAGGAGCTGCAACCATTACACCATGTTCCAAATGACATCTTAAGTAATAAATAATAATAAAATAAATTAAAAACAAAGATTTGTCCTCTATCAGCAGGAGGCATGGTGAAATAGGAGCACGCACTTACATTCTCGTGGGTAACTACAGCCTGAAGGATGTCCAATTTCTATACTCCACTTTCCCCTAGTAATTGCTACTGCAACCGAGTGGTAGAAATGTCTATAAAATGCCTATCATATACGTTTTTTATAATGTTCAAGCAATCAGTTACCAGAGGTTTTGCAGATTAGGTAACGACCTCACTTTCATTGTGTAATTTTTGTATCTTTAGTGTATTAATATTTTCTGTCCGAGATGAAAGTCTGGTGGTTACCACAGGACTTCTATAGTTCTACTATATGCACCAGCCTCCCACAAAGATGGTCAATGCCGCATATAAATTTTTATGCTATTAACTTTTACGATTTTTATAGACATATGTGGTTTTTTTTTTTTAAATTTGTAAATACATATAATTAATTTATTATAAACTGGAAGGAAATTTATTAAATATTTGTGCGCCTTGATACATTAATTCTACATTTTTTTTTATTTACATTTCATATTCAAACACTTCTGATGTCTTTCTCGCAAGACACACAATCGTTCATTAAAACCCGGGGTACACACCTAGAGCGGCTTCATAATTACGGGCTGAGTGCGTAACGAGTTGTCGCCATTAGCTGACATTGTTCTCTTGTAAAATGTATTTCATTTGACACCATCCGAACCGTGCACGTAACATTATATTACCGTACACAATATCGAAATATACTTACGTAGTTTAAAAATTTGTCTTTATTAGACTGATTTAGTTGTTAATTAAATTACATAAAGAGTTCAAACAGCTATCATCCGAATACTTCCCAAATATAAGAGAATAAACGCTGCTTATCCAGAGCTTGTTATATTCACCAGTGGGCTGATCAATTTTAAAAATGGCGTTATTAAGCATAAAATTACTAGTGAAAACTAAAATTGCAAGTGTAATTTTGTTTGTGCCGTTTATGTTTACCGTAATTGTATTTTAGAATCGATATATCGTAACATATACTATATAAAATGCATTATTTATGATGTGGTGTAATTTAGTCAGAATATAAAAAAATATTGCGAACACTTAAATATTGTGAGGCCTAAAATTGAATTCTATCACGTTATTATTTTTTGTAGTAGAGAGATTGCTTTAATACGCTATATGCGGGGTTCGATTCCCAGTAAAACAATAATTACGAAAAGAATACAGAAAATAATAAAACTGACACAGAAAGTTGTCTATTATTAGGATACGAATTTTCATCAATTGCCTTAGCTACGAAAAGATAGCAATAAATCGGTTAAAGAACAATTTTTAATTAACACATACATAGGTATGATTTGGTGAAATACAGCCGTCTAATGACCACGGATCCTTAATTATTCGCTGCCAAAATCATCTAACTTCCAAAAAAAGCACTTGCCAAACGTTATGGCACTATCGGGCATAGCAAAATAATAGTGAAGCTTTAGTGCCAACTGGCTTATAAACACATTTGGCACGGTTCTACAATTAGTTTGTCATTTCATCTACAAATACCAATATATCACCAAAAGTGGAGCAAGAAAGTATTAAACTGGTGCCCAAGGTACAATAACCGCAAAAGAGGAAGACAATTTAGAAGGTAGATAGACCAGTGGCACAGCGCAGACAAAAATGGCGGGAATTGGAGGAGGCTTTTGCCAAAAAAGGGCACATAGATCTCTAGAAATAACGAGATGATAGAAATATAAATGTATTTAAATGACTTAACATTTAAATACATTTGAAATAAACGGCTATTACTATTATTATAACATATATCATAGCTATATTTAAGCTAAAATTGCCACAGGAAACACTATACGACTGGTATAAACTGGTATATACTGGTACTAAGTATCTGACGTATTCCTCACTTCACAAAAAAATTTAATCTGATCTAAACTCAATTATTCTACAACTTTTTATATCTTAATCTAGTATTTTTTTATAATGCGTACTGAGATAGCTATGTTTCTGTAACCTGACCAAGAAATAAACAAAGTCGAGCCATAGTTAAAGCTACAAGCCCATTAGCACTATGCCCCATTCCCCACTCCTAGCAAGAGGTCGTATAATTTTGGCACGAACGCATTGCTCTTATTTGCGAGGCTTTCATTCCGTGAATGTGTCGTGTCGGCCTCCATTAGCCGGCTATTATGAGCGCAGACATTTTTTTATTGCGATAGGAGCGAAAATGACTGAAAAATTTGCACTTTACCACGCATTAAGGTTTTTGCTTTTTATATATATAATTTACGTGTTCCAAACTGTGTGTGAATTTGAATACATTCAAATTTATATTATATACATACATTTTAATACAATTCTCTTGACATTTATATGATGATTATTTTTAAAGGGACAGTATTTAGACCATAACTTTTGACAACTTAGTATTATTATTACGACATTATGATAATTATTATGACATTTTCATGCCTATTTTTTTTATTGTTTATCAATCTATATGTACCACTTTCTTTGCAAATAAACGTTTTATTATTATTACTTGAAACTCACGTTAACTCAACAACAGGATTAACCATATTAATCTTAATATACTTATTTTGGGTATTGAAAACATATTTGAATCATCAAATTCCGCGTTTGATTTTACTCCTAGATCGCGCTACCTCCTCCACGAAATCAACCAATTTTCTTCAAGATATCTTGTCAAAAGCGCGTAGTTGTCATGAAACATGAAACTGTACAAGGTCGTAGTACACAAAGCAATCAGTAGCTATCAAGGATTCGGCGCCCTCTCGGCCTCTCGGCGGATTTCTTAGCGAAAAATAAAACCTCAAACGAGACACGGCACTCGACGGGCGAGGGAGGGAGGTTTTGCTATAATTAGAGACGCGCGTGCTCAAGGGCCGAGACGCCAGCGGGATGCGGCGTTACTACGCCTTGTTATAACGTTCATAAGTCACCTGCTCGCCGATTGATTAAACATAGCTTTAAACTGCAAATCCATATACAGTGTAGACTCTTTATAACGTTCGTTATAAGGAAAAACTCTCCATTAATTCACTCTTTATAACGCAACAGTCACACTCTATTACGTAAATATTTTCATATTTAGACATCAACATCATACTTAAGTGTAATCGTTTTCATAATCAGATTACAAAACTAACCTATTGAGGTGCTGCAATATCTAAGAAAGACACCTGAGGTCATAAACAACCTTCTCGCCTTTGAAATTGTTAATTGCATTCACCATTGTCACCATTGTCACTTCTAATCATTATAATCAGTCTGTTATTATTG